CAAAATTTGCTGCGGACAAGCTTTCAAGTCTATAATTCAATTTAATCGAAAATATTTCTGCAGAAAAATTAAAGAGCTATATACCATTCGATGCAGTTTTTCACGCTGATTCCGAATATGGCCTTACTTTCAAGAAAAGGTGCTTTTTTGAGGGAGAAAACTGCGAAATACTCGAAAACCTCCAGGGTTTTTGGAAAGCCTGTAACTCAGCACCCCTAGAGTTGGGAGACTTTGTGAGATCAGTATATGTAGAGGAGGTTGAGGCGAACATTTTGAGCTATTTTTTGATATCAATAGCTGCTGAGCGGAGTTTAGCGATTGCATTTATATGAGGACGTCTATTTTTAAAATGAGTTCCGTGGAAAGATCTACGCGCGTTCCTTTGTCCAACGGAAATTTTCTTACGGCTAGATAGTCCAACAGATGGTGATTCTATATATGTCATTGTTTTTGAAAAAAACTTATAATTTGACGGAGAAAATGTAATTTTACGCGCCAGCATGCTAATTCTACTGATAATTTTGTAATTTAATTTTCTCAACTGAGGAAGAAGCTAGAGCCAAAAATTTTCACCGTTAAATAGGGCATTATTTATAGTATATATGTCATCATTCAAAATATAAAAATTCGAACCTGCGATTTTTCACCAAAATGCCGCCTAAATGCCCACTGTGAATAGAAATCAGGATAAAAAACAAATTGAATGATGTGTATCTCTATCATATCTGACTACCTTAGTTTTTAATGAATTTTCACGTTGAAAAATAATCGCGATTTTCATCAAAAAGTGAAAATCAACTAAAAATTTTGAAATACAGAGCATTCGATTTGTTTTTGGATCCTAATTCCAAATATGATATTTCTATTGCATTAAAGTTGATTTCTGATGAAGAAAATTAAAGAAAAAGAAAACACTTAGGCGAACGTTTATTAAAATAACTGCCCAGGTCGGATCGGAATCTGCTCAATTCCTTCGCATTCTGATATTTGGTTCTTGGAGGATCCGATATCCGGAACCAGTCGGACTCGTTAATTTTCCTTAACCGGAAATTGACGGATCCGCCACGGGATCCCGTGACGCACACTTTGGTTTTTTTCTTTCTTCCCTCTGCGCTTAATATATTCACCGTTTTATTTCACGACAGGAGCCCTTTAAATACGAAAATATAGATTTTCACTTCCATGGAAATGAAAATTTATTTCGTATCGATAGATTAGGTTAAAAATATTGCAGAAAATACTTGAATTAAAAACGTTTGATAATTAGGTTTGATAACATAATTGCATTGCATGAGTTCAACTGGCTCCCTTTATTCTGTAAACCTGCTTTTGACAGTGTATTATAACTAATTCGGGGGAAAAACTTTACTGTAACTGGTTTGTATGCTCTGAACCTCGGAGCAAAGTAGATAAAAATCTACTCTGACGTGAAGAACAATGTGGTCGTTCCACTCTGAAAAATCTCCGCAAAAACGCTGATGGCTAGCTTGATCGAGTTATGGTCGTTTGATTTTGTTAGAAAAGTGCATAGCTCCAATCTCTCTCGTTATCCGCTTGATCTATCTACATGATGTATCTTTTTCTTCTTTATCTGCTTGATATATATGTCATCGATAAAGTGACAGTTACACGTTGCTTAGGACTGTCTAGAAGGATTGAATCACTCTCGTATGACCAAAAGTATTTTTCCTTCAAAGAAAAAATACAACACGAGCAGAAAATCTTCTCTTGTTCTTCCTTACCAAATGGCTCTAAAAACACACGTATAGATCTATAAAAGGTATACGACAAACAAAGCCGGGGAATCGGGGCATTGTCTCAGTTCTGCCGACAGTTCGTCAGTACTTACTGGATATCGAGAAGGAACCTAGCGTCACTTCTCCGGAGAATAGGGGAACTGAGGTGAAGATGAAACACAGTGTATAGTAAGAAATATTTTTTGTAGGCTGTGTTTCACCTCTGTTTCCCAATTCCTCGGAGGAACTGACGCTAGGTTCCTTCTAGGTACCCAGTAGGAACTGAGGAACTGTCGGCAGAACTGAGTCAGTTCCTCGATTTCATGGTTTTTTTGGCTTTATTAGCAACGATTCAGTTGGTAGTATACACTCATGCAGGCCGCTTGAAAAGTATTTCGCTACATTCCCTAATCATTTCCTCGACGATTTCGGCACAATTCCTCGTTATGTTGAACGTTAGTTCCCCGCAAAAACATTTTCTGAGCTTTTACTCAGCAAAATTTTTCTGCATAGTGCTTTACTAGTCAATTTTTCTATACACTCAATTCCTCCAGTTCCCCGGGGAACTGATGGTAGGTTCTTTCTAGGTATCCAGTAAGAACTGAGGAACTGTCAGCAGAACCGAGATAATTCCTCGGTTCTCCGGCTTTTTTTAAGAAAGTTTTGTGTTTATGGTTGCTATTGAATTTATTTTGGGTTATCTCTATAAGGAAAATATCAGTTCACTGACGGGAAATTGACTATCGTTTGTACTAATTTCCTTGGTTCCTTACGGTAGGTATTGTCATAAGCTCATGTCCTTCGATGAAATTGAGGAATGGAGAAGGAATTGTGGGTGTAATGTTTATGTTATTTCCTTGTCAAGTTATATCTAACGGGGAATTGTCCAGGAAATATCGAGGAAATGTGTAGTGAATGATGGTCAGTTCTCAGTTTCTCGTGGAATTATATATATTTGTGTGGTATTGTTAGGAATTGGGAGAATTCCTATTCTAAGTGCTTAGACACTGCTGAAATTGGTGGTTTGAACTGCCTATTTACAGCCAGTGAACCGTCTTTTAACGGTCAAGCTTCTTGTGAAAATTAGATATACGAGAACGCCATTTACTGGCACTTTGTAGGCTGTTGAAAAACCAGACTGTTAAAAAAAATTATACATGAAAATGCTTTCTGTACAATGCCTCTGTAAACTCTACTTTTCTAGTTTTAATATTTAATTAGTAGAAGTATAAGGCACATTTGTTCGCAGCTCACCAGTTAAATACTAGAACGATCATTTCGGAGCTTTAAATACACATTTTCATATTCCTTTGCGTACATGTACACTACCAGCAGTCTCACTTCTATGCTGTTCTTTCATCTTGAAAATCCATTTAATAAATTAAAATATATAATTATCATCAAGTGATCACTGTTTTTCTTCTTGTTCTCATCCACGTACGTACAGAATGACAAATTATAGTTTACTGTGAAATTTGCTACAGATTCTTATAGTTATTTAAATTCACACAGAAAATGGATACTTTACTACTTAATAATAATTTAAGTGAAGAAGACACCTTCTTAAATAAATTATACATAGATCCCAGAAGGCGGCGACATCAAGAGTAAGGCCAGAAACGAAGTGAGAGCCGAGGATAGATGTACTCCTACTAGAATGACCAAAGTTTCTCGAGCTATCTGCTGTAATCATTATGGATCTATTGTAACATATGTATCTCCATTTAACAATTTTGTATATCCAGTTATGTAGTCTACATGATCGGATCCATAAATTTGTTAAATGGAGATGTATATGTCGCCCCAAATAGATGAGATATATGTATTACATATGTGTTTGGTATCCATTGGTTTTATTCATGCACGACCTGTAAAATAAATTACTTCATATATTCTTTTCTGCGGTTCTTGCTTTATATGTATTTCTATATGCACACAGGAACAAGGAAGAAGGCCCCACCTTGCGACTACCTTACAGTGTAGGGTGCTGCCAAAGCAGTTTCGATAAGCCCGATATCTTCTCTACAGCTGGTGATCTTCAGAGACGGTCACCCGTTCTTCTGCTAGTCACCAAGCAAGCTATAGCTCTGGACAGATGGCCAGCCTGACACAGAGTTCTTTTCGCCCAATTGCTCGAGCTAGTGTGCGCGGTGTGACTAACACACTCACTAATCACATACTAGCACCGAAGTACCGGTGTATGTCACAACGTAGTGAGTATGCTGTCGGACGGGTGATCCGAGACAATAGCCGTTAGTAACTTGTCCAAGATTATTCTATGACTGAGTGGCACCGAGGTTCGAACACGGTACCTTTGAAGTATGTGCCGAACAACATAACCACTCAGCCATAGAGGCATACAGAAGGAAAAAGAGATGAAGAAGAAAGAAATAACGTAAAAGAGAATGAAAAAAAGCGTCATTCTTTGAAGTTTCATGGTGAATGAAGTTTAACTAAAGTGTTGGAAAGCGTGAAATCACAAGACGGAGAATCCCGACTGGAAAAACGCAGGCACTTCGACGAGATCTTTCAGCCGTACAATGTAACTCATCGCGCTGATTTCGAATATGTGAAAATCCTGAAGGCTTTTCTCTACAAAAAAAACATCAGATTTTGATATGTTCAACTAATGGTCATTTCTATCATCATTTCTTAGGACGTTTAGATGTCTCTTTCAGATAGTGCAAGACTCATTTCCTCCCCATCTGTCTGATGTGGTAAAAATGACTACTTAATAACTAGCAGCCATTACTGGGCAAATATGTGCCAGTTTCAGCATCTCCATTATTCAGAAAAGTTACGTCACGCGTGTCGCACATGAGTGGCGTAGACTAAACATTTGCCTTCAAAATGACGAAGATTGAGCTTGATTAGTTCTGTTTTGTCTGCGCAATGTTCATTTTACAAACAGCTCCAAAATGCAGATTGAAAAGGCTGAAAAAACCGTAATAGGGCTTTGGAAAAAACATTACTGAAAACACAGAAATAGTGATAAAAAATCCGCATTATAGCTATGTGGTAGAAAATTTTAAGGACTGCATTTTGGCTCACTTGCTCTTGTCAAAACGCATACGTTCAACTTCATACTGACGAAATACATTTTTTTGTGTTAATTTTTATTAAGTTTTTAGGACATTTCGATGCTTGTTGGCCTATATCATATTTGCGGAGGTTGGAAATAAATAGAAAAATAGCAGAAAAGCTTTGCGTTAGATATACCTGCCTATATTGTAATGCCCAACTGAAGAAGCTTTGAAGAAAAAGATGTGCATTAGTGACCTAGATTTAGCTCCAAGACGGTTGGTGAAAAGACTTCCTGTAGAAAGGATGAACTGAAAATCTCACATCTCACCATGAAATTTTTCCTGAGGATATATAAATCTCCCAGTAATAATTAATTCTTATCAACGTTCATATCTCCACTGTCTATTTCTTAGACTAATGTTTCTCTTTTTAGTACTGCCAGTACGTCAACGTCTGTATAATTTATATGAATTCGTTAAAGAGAAAATAAAAAAATTTAATCTTTTTGAATCAAAACCGTTATCAATTGATGCACATGAAATAACAAATCAACTCCACTCAACACGTTTATTTATCATTACATTTACTGTTGCATTAATTGTTCTAGTGTTTTATACATCACTCAGTAACAGAACAGTAACAGTTACAATCAAATCACCCACATTAGAACACTATTCAGAATTACAAGAAAAATATCCACAAACTTTGTTATGTCCATGTACAGAAATATCCATTCCTTATAGTAAACTAATCCAACTGTCACCAACCTATCATCAACTTTGTTCAAGTCAATTCATTACGGATGAATGGTTTCAATATACCGTTTATAAGGTACAGCTAATATTAAAAATTCAAGTGGAATTTGTTTTTGAACTTATTATATACTATTCGATAGAGCTTTTCAAGCAGATCAAGAATATGTAGTTGTTAATTTTTCGAAGCTTTCTTCTCGTATAAAAAGACCGAAAAAACGACGATATTCGAAAAAGTTAGATTGTTCGACTTGGGTTTTTAGTCGGAACGTTCAAACTACTTTTCTCTTATTCAGCGTTAAAAACTGAATTAAAAATGATATTAAATTCATTTCGAAGGTTCACGATGGACGTTCGAATAGATCATTGGAAAAGAAGGCTGAGTCATTTTGTAAACCTATCCAGTTTTTTTTTTTTGTGTCAAGCGAAAGAACCTTCATTCATACGGTATTCGAATCGTCTTTGCATGGGCAAAAATAATACGGAGAGCTTTTTGTTAAATTTTGTTTTGCTGCTGAGAAAATTCATTTTTGCTAAATCAGAGGCGAAAAAGTCGAGATTCAGCCCGTAATTCTCAATTTTCTCGGTCCGTACTCAACTTTTGAGCAATTAAAACATCATATTCACAATCAGGACAAAAAGCTGAGTCGACTGATATGTATGTCTAACTTATTCAACTACTTTTACTTTTTCGAACTTTTACATTGAAAAATTACGGAGATTTTCACCAAAATTGGAGATCAGCTAAAAATTTCAAATACATTTGAGTCGACTCAGTTTTTGGTCCTGATTGTGAATATAATGTTTTAATTGCTCAAAAGTTGAGTACGGACCGAGAAAATTGAGAATTACCGACAGAATCTCGACGTTTTCGCCTCTGATTTAGCAAAAATGAATTTTCTCAGCAATAAAACAAAATTTAAAAAAAGCTCTCCATATTATTTTTGCCCATGCTACCTTCGAAATGAATTTATTATCATTTTTAATTCAGTTTCAAACGCTGAATAAGAGAAAAATAGTTTGAACGTTCCGACCAAAAGCCCAAGTCGAAAAATCTAACGTTTTCGAACATAATTGAAAAATGAAATATAAAACTGCTGTAAATATCATGATTAACTAATCACAGTGAAATTTATTTTGATATTTCGACAGAATCTTCTGTCATCATCAGAAATAAGATTATTTTTACATAGTGGAAAACTATATGCATTTAAAATTCACAAAAGAGAAAAAAGAGCGAGAAAAACCAAGAAACCACGTTACACACATATAGATAGAAAACACAACGTGGTTTCTTGGTTTTTCTCGCTCTTTTTTCTCTTTTGTGAATCCTGCAAGTTTTTTCGGTTTTTCGACACGAAAAGAAAGTTTTGAAAAATTAAAAACTACATATTCTTGATCTGCTTGAAAAGCTCTATCGAATAGTATATAATAAGTTCTAAAACAAATTCCACTTGAATTTTTTATATTAGCTGTACCTTACTCCAACAGAATTAATTCATGATGATTTTCGTTGGAGAAGTTCCTTCGGATTTCAAATGTTATCGTCATTTTGTCAATTATCATCACAAACAATCAATGATGAATTGTTAAGATTTTATTCATTGCTCTATTTAAGTTCATCATCAACAATAACATCCAACCACACATTTCAGGTAGAAATTCAAGCATTAATTAAACAATTTCAATCAACAACAAAGAATTCATTTCTACAAATATTACAATTAATACTCGATATAACACAATCAAATAGTTTAATATCTGGTTTAAATACAAATTATTATGTAACTTTACTTGGTACTGTGGATAATTTGGTTACTGTATTTTATCCTCGACGTTATAATGACTGTTATTGTCAAATAACATATAAATGTAATGATTCATCATTTGTGGTGAGTGCTAATGGTGATTATATGGATGAAATACCGGGATTTATGGAAGGATGTTTTATTGTTTATTCATTATTACAATCAACGTTAGAATGTTGGTATCAACAAAGTTGTTTTCAACAATTAATAAATTATATAAATGTAACAACAACAAGTAATTTTACAATACTTGATCCATCACAACCAAGTCAATATCAACCAACAACAACAGTACAAGAAATTGTTAATAATTTAATGATTGAACAATGGAATTCCAATGTATCATTTGAATCATATTATCAACAATGTCAACCAAATGAATGTCGTTATACATATACTGAAAACTTAGATTATTTATATACAATAACAACAATAATGGGATTAATTGGTGGTCTGAGTACGGTTCTGACAATATTAATACCAAATTTAGTGAATTTAATAAGGAAACGGAAGACACCCTCAATAAACAAAAACGGTTAGAAATAAAAATCGATTTTATTTAGCTTAAACTGTTTAAAATTCTTCCTATAACGACTGTTTTTCACCTCCATATTTTAAGAGAGACTGCGCCAGTTGATCGAGTATCTAGCCAAAGATCGGCCACGAATGAAAAATTAACATATACTTTGTATTTCATATTCAGATTCTACTATCAAAACTGGGGTTATAAAAAATCTTTTGGTCCTTTCTGACTTATTCTGGCTGAGTTATAGAATTTACAAAATGAGCACCATCGTCGCTTTGCGAAAAGTAGTCAGCCATCTCTGATATTTTGACTATAACTCTGCCACTTTTTATCCGTTCTGTAAAGTTTTTGCGCTCAGTTTGTGGAAAATTGAATTTTCTATCGCATTTGACCTTCGAATTTTTTGACACATTCGATTTGGAGGATTAAAAGTAGCATTTTCTCCAAAATTTTGACCCTTCAAAATCCCAATTCCCCAACTGATGTGGATTTTAAACAGTCACTTCCTACTTCAGAAAAATTAGGAACTATGTGATTTTGTTCAGGTTTTATCAGGCTTTCTAATGAGATGTTGCTCGAACGGTGCGGACAAAAAGTGGCGGAGTTATAGTCAAAATATCTGAGATGGCTGACTACTTTTCGTAAATCGACGATGGTGCTCATTTTGTAAATTCTATAACTCAGCCGGAATCAGAAAGTTTTTTCATATTTTTCATAATCCTAGTTTTGATAGTAAAATCCGAATATGAAATAAAAAGTATATGTCAATTTTTCACTCGTGACTTGATTTTTTGATGGGCTGGCGAACGGTCTCTTGAATACACGAACGACTATAAATGTACGTTTGACGATTTTTAACAGTTTTCAGACCATTATCGAGCATGGGTTTTTTCAAAGTTGAAATATGCTAACTCTCATTTTTGGCTAAATGTCCGTATCAATCTCTATCGTGCGGTAAGGCTTTACGGACAATAAAAACTATATCTTTAGAGATGTTTCAGCAAGCAAAAATTTAAATGAACCAAAACAGATGCCAGCGATGCACAATCTTTGGCTTCATCAATTTACATTTTGCACATATTTTTGGATTTTTTCACAGTTGTCCGTGTGTTTCTGTCGATGAAGAGCAAATAAGCTAAAATTCCTTTTGTTTTTCTTCCTTCTTTTCACTGCTTTCTGTCGGGTATTACGCGTTAGACTATCATATCATGATATAATTCACCTAGTGTCAACAAGTCTAGCAAACACTTTTGTCGCCAAAAATTACGAGAACAGTCATCTTAGGTCCTCTTCAACTTTGGGATTCTTCTTTAGCGAAATGGTGAGAAAATCTAACTGTTTTTGACACAAATTTCTGATTAGATTAAAAGATTTTATGTGATATAAAAAAATATGAGTGTTACTTTAATTAGAGAGACAGTGACTCTTATAAAGAAGCAACCAGAATTAATCAAAACAAAATTCATAGTTCGTTTTATGACTGTGCCATTCTGAGAAGTCTTGAAAACAAGGTCAACTAGGTAGCTGTAGGGGTATTCAAAACAAGTGCAGATAATGATGCTGATGCCATTTGATGATTTATGCCTCATAGTGAACGAGAATTATTTAGTTTTCCGTTAAGATTCCATTAAACGAATTACAAAAAGAAAAGATCTTTGAAAGAGCCAATGAGCCAAAATGTTCTAATTGACGGAGGGAAAGTCATCTCTTCTATAAAAGACCTGTGAAAGAATTCTTGTTCAGTGTGATTTTCTTTTTGTTACTTACTTGGAATAATTTTTCGACAAAATGGTGAGTTTCTACCGGTTTCTTTTTGATAGTTATATCAACCCTTCAACGTCTATGGAATATGTCCATATTAACTAAAGAAAAAATCCAAAAATTAAATTTATTTCAATCGTATGCATCATCAACAAATGAAAACCATGGTTATTACGAAATTTTATCAACACGTTTATATTTAATAACATTAACTCTGTCTGTGATCATTATAGCTCTTTACACATCATTAATTGATCGAACACAATTAGTAACAATTAAATCACCAATAACATCTGATCAATATACAACACTTTATCAACAACATTCTCAAACATTAACATGTCCATGCACAACGATTTCAATTACATATGAAAAATTCATTCATTTATCACCAACTTATCATCAAATATGTTCAAGTCAGTTTATTAGTGATGATTGGTATCAATATATAACTGAATCTATGAGTAATATATATTATTTTGAAAATGATGATTTTCGCAATAGAGCTAGTGCTTTCTTTCAAATGTTACAAGTATTATGTCAATCAACAAATGAAACAATTCAAGATAGTTTAGTTGTTTTTAATTCTACACAATTAGTTAATGATAAATTAATACCACAACAATTATTTCAGATTCAAGCTGAATCTTACATTAATCTTTTTATAGAAACAACAACAAATACATATAAACGTTCATTACAAATTATACGTGATACAACACAATCAAGTGCATTAGTAGCTTATGGTTCATCTGTTACTTATTTATCTGCATATCAAAGCGTTCAAATAACACCGAACATTTTATATAATGATAGTAATGAACCCTGTTCATGTCGAAATACGGCTGGTTGTATACAACAAGCAAAATTATATGATTATTTATCACCATTTACAATGAGTGTTACTGGAATTTATTTCAGTTGTTATGTTTTAGAATCAGTATTACGATCAACATTAGAATGTTTTTATAATCAAGCATGTTTTATAGAATTAAACTTACTTATAAATCCAGATGATCCAAGTAATTTTTCAATTTTAAATTCAACTCAACCATCAAGTCAATATCAACCAACAACAGTGATACAAGAAATTATTAATAATTTAATGACTGAACAATGGAATTTCAATGTATCATTTGAATCATATTATCAACAATGTCAACCAAGTGAATGTCATTATACTTATATTGAAAAATTTGATTATTTATATACAATAACAACAATATTGGGATTAATTGGTGGTATGAGTACAATTCTATCAAAATTAATACCATTTTTAATTATAATAGTAAATCCTCATATTTTCCCATTTTTTAGAAAATTATATAAAAAATATAAACAACGACAAAATCAGATTAAGCCAACAACAATAACATCGACAATAGTAGAAAATTACAATAATGTAAGTAGTTTTATTATAAAAAATTTCATAGAAGATAAAGAAAAAATTCGAAAAAAGAGATCAAACTGGCAAGAAGCTGGTTTGTTTTGGTATCGTTTCCAGTTCTGCAGTAAAGATGAAAACTTCTCTAACTTCATCTCCGCAGGTGTGAGCAAAATTCGAATAGTAAGAGAATAAAATTGTTGCAAAGCTTATTATGGTAAGAAATAAGTGTCTCAAACGAAGGCTGTATTGCAAGACTCTACATTTTGGCACCAACGGATTTCAGAGCTTTTTAATGAGATTGTGGCGTTTTTCTTTAGAGGCTTCATCATCGTGTTTTTCAATGAGACGCTATTTTGAGGCTCTGTTTTTGATAATTCATGAGACACGTTATGTTATTTTATACTTCCTTTTCCCCACACTTTATCCATAAGTATAATCGTATAAAAAATAAGGAAAGTACAATGATATTCGTAAAACAGCGAGAGAAACACATAAAAAATCTGATATTGTTGGTCATACAAATAATAGTTGAACGAAATCTCGTATATCGTAAGAAGAAACATTTAAATCAAATATTTCAACTTAAAAGGAAATCAAGATGAAATCGATGTGAATAAGTTTTTCCTTGTAAAAATCTTACAGCTGAATAGAAAAGCTTTTTTTGCAAAAATAAACTCATATATTGTTCAGAATGAATGATGTTCATCAGTACTTTCCTTAAATTGATTTATAATAGCCCTACAACAATTTAATTTCACTATCATCCTGCTGTCTCGTCAATGGGGATTATTTCTAGTGTTCCATCGATAAGGCAATACTCTGTTCCCAAGCAAAAGTTGCCCAGCTGAGAATTCTAGATGTGCTTGCTGGAGTATTGGGCAAGCAAGAGGATACAGGTAAAATAGTGAAAACGGTCGATTTTATTTCAACGGAAGGTTTTGTCAAAAATTGGGGACGAGCATTCCAGACAGCATCCAAAACTGTCTGTATGAAATAGTTTTTAAGCTTACATCGGGGAAATTAATCGCTTGACTCAAGTTTCCGAGATACGAAAATCCTATGAAAAAGCCATAAAATGTTCTTTTTACTTCTGTAAGATGCTAGAGCGAGGTTGTAGAAGCCATTCTATAGTCAAAAGGTAGAAGAACTTGGTAGCATGCTTGCGTAACCAAAATTATTTTCAGAAGAATTTTTCTGAAACAGATTTTGTAGGGGATCTTTGAAAAACCAGGCAGGCAGTAAACGTTTTCCAATAGGATTATATTACTTTGGGAGTAATGTGAGATCTTGATTTTCTGCAGTTCGGGAGTTGTATCAGATTCCCTACGGGTCCCAGGACTGGCACCTGGTGACTATTGGCAGCCTTAAAGACGAACGCACTATGTGTAACTGACCATTCTGAGTTTCGTGGCAATATTTATTTTTAGAAAAGTTTTTAAAATTGTAGTGAAAAGCCAGTTTTACCAAAATTAGGGTTTTTAAAAGAAAGAATCAGAAATCTTGAAAAACCGTTCCGCTCAAAAAATTCAAATATATTCTTTTCATTTCATTTCGAAGCTCTCTAACATTGTTTTCCTGATTCAGCGTATCTGACTGCTTATAGCAATGTTAATTAGAGCCTTCTCCTATATTATCTGGTTGAGAAAACAATTCTTAGGATCAGGAAAAAAATTTCACCGACGAATTTTGCAAGCCTATCTGTTTTTTTTCTGTCAAGAGTTGCAACCTTGATTTCCATCACCTTCGATATGCCTTTGTACAGGCAAAAACAGTATGCATCGCTTTTTTCGAAATTCCTTTTTATTGCTGAGAAAATTGACTTTTACTGAACAGAAAAAACTAGATAGGTTTGCAAAATTCGTCGGTGAAATTTTGCCTAACTCATGTATCTCTTTCTCAGCTATGTAATATGGGATAATGCTCCAATTAACATTGTTTTCCCGATTCAGCGTATCAGACTGCCGATAGCAATTTTAGAGAGCTTCGAAATGAAATGAAAAGAATATATTTGAATTTTTTGAGCGGAACGGTTTTTCAAGATTTCTGGTTCTTTCTGTATTTTCAAAATTTCTCATCGAAAACACCAGTTGAAAAGATTAAACCTAAGATATTCTTGATCAGCTCATCGAACTCTATCGGTCTATAATAAAGCCAAAAATAAAACAATGCCACAGCTTCGAATTGTTGGCGCCTTTAAATTTTGCAACTGCGATAGTTTTCTGGAATCATAAAACAATTTTACTTGTAGATTAATGTTATTGATGAACAATTAGCAACGAATTCGGTGTCGAAAAAGTAAAAAGATTCTTTGATTCTTACTGTAAATTAAAATATAAAACAATTTCCGTTTCTTTTCAAAGACAAAGTACAACAACAATTTCAAAGTGGAAAAAATATTTGATTCATTCAATTACATGTTTAATAATAATTGTACTTATTCTTGCTTCAACTATCGTATTTGCAATGAAGCAAGGTAAAAATAAGTAACAACAGTAGTGGCTTTCCTGTACAGTGTCAGCTACTTATAAGAGCAAAACTTTGAATTTTCTTAAATTATTTTTATTCAGGAACTTCAACATCCATGCGAACAGCACAATCAACAATGATGATGACTACTACTGGTACAGTTAGAGTAACAACAACAAAAAAAAGTTCTGATACAACGACGATAACAGCCACCACATCAAGTATGTTATAAAAATTAGCAAAAAAAAGAAACTTTGACAAAATCTAAAGCACAGCATTAAACTTAGCTAACTATAAGAAATCATTTTTTTACTTTTGTGACAAAAAGGTTAGCCAGTACCAATTAACTTCAAACTATTCTATTGTTAAATAATGAAAAATTTCTTACCATTGAAAGAGAAATATTTTTTCTTCTTCAAGATATATCCTCCTCTAAGATATACGAAAATTCCTTTTCTATGAAATAGCTAGAAAATACGTCCTACACGGATGAAAATAATATACCCGGATTCTGGATATATCATACAGAAAACAAATAGAAGGTAGATATACCAGAAGTCCTCTCGATTCTGGTACAGTAAGATACATCGACACAACTAAAAATCTCAGCAGATAATGGGTAGACTTAAACTTTTAAGACATAATGTCAGTGGATTTTTCTTGCACTTAAAAATGTTTTAGTCAAATAAAAATGATACTTTCGAAAGAAAAACTTAATTTTCTTTCAGATATCTAATTAAAACTTTTCTGTGATCTTTCGTTTAAATGCAACGATCAAATGTTTAAGAGCGCTGTAATTATATTTTCTTTTTGTAGAAAAATGTTTCTATCTTTCTACATACTCAAATTAAGTTTGGTCTTCTCCAATAGTGAAAAGAGTGGAAAAAACAGCCATTTTTGATCGTCTAAATTTTAATTCCAGTACAAACATTCTTGAGCATTTTTATCCAGTTTCCTCTTCGGGAACATGGTGCAATTCATCTCAAACTGAGCTAGAGATTGAACTCAAAATAAGCACACAGCAGTCTTACTCTTTCCTCTTAACCCTCTTTAAATTCCTGTGTACTGACTCTGAAGTTATGCAGTTTTTCATATGTTTTTTATATATGTGTTGCTAACGATTCTTTAGTCAAAACTAAAATTTTAGTTTTGGTTGACGATTGATTTGACTGGCCAAAACTGAAATTTCGACTTGCAGTTAGTCTGAAAATGATATATTTGTTTTTTTCCTGTTTTTGAGCGAAGTGATATGATTACATTAGTTTTTAAGCTGACTAGAGAACTGTTGAAAAATACCATTTAGTTTTTATAGTTAAATTGTCTATATTCATCAATTAAGTTGAAATTAGTTATATTATCTGTTCCTGCGTCAGCATCTATTTATCGAAATTTAAAAAGAAGACCAGTGGGCAAAATGCTTATAACTATTAAGGAAGGTAGATAGGAACCTGCGGTTTTCATCATTCAAAAGAGGGCCTCAAGGTACGCAAATCCGTGAAAGAGTCAGGCCTCCGGATGAGGTATACGATGGTAAACCTTTCGAGGCAAAATCAGAAGGACTGCAGCTTCCGAACCGTACCATGGATTTTCAACTCAAATTATACCAATTGATGGGCAAAATATCGCTCTACAAAACTAAGCAAGAACGAGGTCTCCATCTACTATGGTTTCGGAGATATTCGTACTTTCCGGAGACACCTTTCTCAATTCCCATGTGTCTGGTAGACTCGAAAACATATGGAACATAGGTAATCTATCACGTTGATCATCGTGGCAATGTCTGTTTCATTTCCCTGGTGTTCAACAGATCAGCAGACGCGATTTTGGAAAAAAACGGTTTGTCATCTTACCGTCAGAAATCAAAAACCGTATTTCTCAGCCATTTCTGGTCCAAAACGACTCAAATTTCATTAAAACAATCAGTTGCATCAAAACCAATAATTTCACTGAGACTAGATTGCAAATCGATTTGATTAATAGGCGTACAAGAGGATATTGTGTTAAGTGCGGTCGTTTATCGTTGGATTTTGCATTGTATTGATCATTTTCCGACATTTACATGATGTTTTCCATTAGAAAACATATCTGTTTGAAAGGTTGCTTCTAAACTCCGTCAATTGTTTTTTACTTTTCGTCCTCCACGTTTGTTATATTCGGATAATGGCGCTGAATTTGTCGCACAGTTTATATCTGAATTGAAAAGCTTGTTTCCAGACATGTGTTTCATTCGGGGAAAATGCAGACATCTTTAAAGTCAAGGCTGTATTGAACAATGGCGTTTTAAATATTGCATTGGGTAAATGGTTAGATACGAACAATTCAGTTCATTGGCCAAATGGTCTGCTACCAGTTGTTTATGGAATCAATACAAAAGTATTAACAACGACAAAAATAACCGCATATGAAGTAATGTTCGGTCAACGTCCACGATCAGATTCCGATTTTTAGGAATATTTTTGATGCATTCATAATACTTTCATCTCAAATCACTTCTTCTACCTCTGTGTCTACTTTTACTTCTTAATCATCAAGTTCATGTGCATTAACATCTAATTCATTAGTAATAGATTCACCACGACATAACGATGTAAGGCGTAAAGCGACCGAAAATTATTTAGGAACACCTAATAAGAAAAAAGCATATGATGAACATTTATATAAATATATTTATATAAAAAAGGAGATGGTCTTGGTATGAGAAGCCATGATGTTGACAGAACAAATATAGATTCGGAACTTTTACTATGTAAACCAAAATCAGCAGTTCACAAAACCACAGTCTATCATTTCTCGAAAAGTTGCTTTTTTTCACTCATTCGTTACCTTCAGCAAAATTCTTATGCTAGACAAATCAAAACTTAAACTGATGTAATGTTGTTTGAGCTTCCCTTTTTGATTAATACAGCTATAAAGGTATTGAGTGACTCGTAAAAGGGGGTCAGTAGTCGAAGACGAAGGCTTAAATCTAAATTGAGCGGAGTTCAAGAGATCGTTTTCAGTTAGAAATTGAAGTAGTTGATTGTGGATAATCTTTTCTAGAATCTTACTGGCAACACACAGAAGAGAAATCGGTCTGTAATTTTCAATAAGAGTAGTCTCTCCTTTTTTGTGTA